CGTGGAGAGGTGGGTGTAGCCATATTTCTGCACAATCTTCTCACACTGGGTCCCCTTCCCTGAGCCGGGGCCACCTGCAAGCCACATGAGGGCCCCACGTGCCCCAAACCACAGGTAAGGAGCTGCAGGGGGACCTGGAAGCAACACCACAGACCCACCAGGATCCCCAGGGTCCAGTGCGATGGGAATTACTGCTTCTGGGGTGGGCTGGGGGATGCCAGGTCCTTGGGGGTGGCATGGGCTGCAGGCACTTGGCCAGGACAACAGCACCACCCCATCAGCAGCCAGGACATCACACCCCCTCCAGCGTTTATTGTCACGTCACCCCAGATGCTGCCACCCCATGCCCACCCAGAGGTGCTTTCACAGTCCCAGCACAACTCACCGTAGTCTTGAAAAGAAAGGCTGCAGCCACAGCCACCCCACAGCACCTGGGGTGGGTTGAGGTCCCACAGCCCCCAACCCCAGATCTGCAGCCCTGGGCACTGGCAGCCCCCAACCCTGGAGGTGTGGGGGGACAGGGATGTGCTGTGGCCTTGACCCCACCAGCAGAGGGACCCGGACACCAACTTACCCACCACAAAGATGATTTTGTGCTGTTTGAGTTTTTCTGGGAGACAGAAAGAAAAGAAATAATTAGCTAAAGCTGGGAAGAATGTTAAGGACTGAAGTCTCTCCAGGGGGGGCAAGGGCCAGGGGCAGGTGTCCCCAGGGACGGAGGGGACCCACCCCCAGGGGATAATGGCAAAGCGGGAAGCAGCTACATGTCCCCATCATCTTTGTCACCTGGGCAGGTTGGGTTGGCCGGGCTGGACATGTCTGGGCACAAAGACCCATTGGGGCTGTGGAGATGGAATCCCACTGCCACCTGGTGTCCTGGAGACAGTCATTGTGCACAGTTCCCTCGGCTGTGGGGGCTGCAGAAGGCACAGCCTGGCACGGCCCCTCGAGCACCTGGTGTGACCCGTCAGTCCCTGAACCCCACAGTGGTCCCTGGCCCTGGTGATCGACCACTGGTGGCACTAACTGCCCTGTGCCCTGCCAAGGGGACTCAGGAGCAGGGTCCCTTGCCCCCTGCAGGATCCAGGCCAGCCATGCCA